GGCAGACCTGGTCAACATTAAGTTCGTTATATCAAGTTGGTTCTGCATCCAGAGCACCTGCGCTTACATCTGAAACTTCCATTTGGGGATCACTCTGGAAAGATCTTCTGTACCAGGTAACATAAGTTTGTTTGCACGCCTAGTGATTGTTTTTCAAGTATATTATGCAACTTACATTGGCTCTTGTTGTAGATTTTCCGTGCAGTCCGGAGCATTTTGTACGGTTTTGTTGCCTTCTTTTCAACATGCAATAGGCATCGGCTCAGGTAATTTTCCCTTTTACTTGTATGCAGAGGTAGTATTTGCAAATCTGACAAACAATAAGTCAAAAATCTGAATGATGATTGATGAGAACACCCATGCTTTTCTGAGTTCATACTTTTCCTTCAAACTGGCTTGTTTGGCGTGTCTGGACAATGGAAATTTTAAAATTGTGTAGTGTAGCTCACATTATGCCCCCATGTATTATGAACTAATTGTGACTACATGCTGCAGCATATACAACCACATAGAAGTTCTTCTCCGGCGCCTGTCCCGCGCCTTAAATGGCACGCGACATACCTCCTCTTGTGAAGGAGCTCAGAAGTATACTAGTCAAGATCATCCTGTAAGTACTAGCATTTTATACTTACGGTTGATGTTTGTGTTCATTCAATGGTGTTTCTGAACTTCAGAAATGAAATACCCCCTCTGTATCAAAATGTTAGATGTTTTTTGACAGTCAAAAAACATCTTGTATTTTGATATGGAGGGAAGGAACAACCCTGGGAACTTGTTCTGAAAAAGAAAACCCTGAGAACTGGCATTATTCATTTTGTTGTTATACTCCTGGACATTTGAATGCATAGTTCATTCCAAAACAGCCAATCTACCATAGACGTATCTTATACTGTTTTCTATCGAGTGTTATATATACGTCGTAGCTATGCAAGCAAGTTAACTGTTTTAACTGTATTGTGGTGATTCAGTAAAAAAAGAACATTTTTGGAAGAACCAATAGTGTAGTTGCTCTATTTTCACTATATATGTACAGATGTACTGTGACTTGGATCACTATGTTCTTGTTTATTTGGCGTCCACATTCCTCGTTAAAATTGACGAGGAAACATGTACTGAATTTGCTGTCCCATGTTTGTTTGTGCAGCAAAGGAAAACCAAGACGAGATGATTGTGGAGTTACCGGATTGACATACCAAGTAATTAGCTAATTCAGAGAAACTTTAAAAGGTTGAGACGAGATAACAGTGGACCTCCACAAGGAATCATGTGTACAGGTCTCATACAGCTTCTAATGTTTCATCAATGAACCCTAATCGTAATCGGTGTATCCCCTCTGTACAGATAGAGGCAGAGGGCAACAACCAGCGAAGCAAAAGCGGTACAACTGTAAATGTACATTAGTCGGAATCTGTTGTTTGTTTGTCCATTGTAGTGTAATGTCATGTAATATATATTAGTAGGTTGTACAGTAGAGTAGGTTTGTGCATATGCTTCGGCTACTGAACAAGAATTTTGTAAGTATATGAGAGAGTTCGTTACCTTTTTTCAGTGTTAGTGTTATTAAAAGTTTTCCCGTCTCAGGTGCCTAGGGTGTGTTTGGTTTACAGCCCAGAGATGGGCCAAAACAAAAGGAGGTCGGAGCTTGGACTCCTTTTACTTTTTTAAGACTCAAATGCTTGGCTCCCGCCAACGCCCAAAGATGGGCTTCATGTTTGATTTTGCTGACGACAATGGAGGTCAGAGCAGCAGTGTTGCGAAAAATTCTTGCGTTGCGGTCCTTTTAGATTTTCCATGAGACAAGCATCATAACTGAAGCAATGGCCTTCCTGTTTTGACCTCCATCACTCATCGTCTTATGCCAGCATGCTAGAACTGAATCTTCATGCCTCCACAACATTGGGAGTGGTCTTGAATGCCTAGCTAGGCGGTGATCTCGTTCCAAACTCAGGCAGAAAATCTACGTTGGAAAAGAAGGTGGGCAGCAGACTCCTGCACCTGCTTGCAAAGTGGGCAAAGGCCACAGTTAGGCCATCTCGGCAATGAAGAATTAACGAGGCAAAGAATTGATGTTGTAGCGCACTGATACATTGCACACATCAACATTTCTGCAACACATGCTTTTGTTCCTCTTCCGGCTTCCGCATTCCAAAGAATCTCGCAGAGCAGGATGTTTCCAACCGGGGAAAAATGATTAGCTTGATGATCAACTTTTGAATTCCCTCTCGCTGCAGATCCCATCTATTCTTTCCTCTCCGGTGTCCGGTACTCCTGCTGCGTAATCTGCACATGGATCTAAGGTGGCGTTGCATCACGATCACAGGCAGCCGGGCATATGCATATGCATGTGGGGTTGGTAGATTAGATAGGTACACGGATCCACGCGTGCAAACAGCGCAAGGTCCAGGCATCATGGTTCCAAGTTTTAGCATGGCGAAACAATCACCGATACAGAAGTTCAGTGAACCCATACGCAGCTGTTAGAAACCGACGGATACGCCGTGTGAAAATCTCTTGCGCTGCCGATTTTTTCGTGTATGTACGAGTCGGCAGATGTGACATGCCCTCGTCTGAATCTGTTTGCTCGATGGCGCGCCGTGATCCAAGGCCCTGCTGAATATGCCCAAAGGTCCAAGTGGACCTACCCATGAGTGAGTGAGTGAACCTCCTTTTCCTTTGTCCAAGCACCACGAGCGAGCTAGAGCTCACTGGCACGGTGGCGCCACTGTACGAGTAAGTGTGGACTTAACTGAATAAAGGTCGGGCTCACATGATCACGCGCTCCCGTGTCTTGGATCTTCGCTGTTGTCGTCGCACTAGCAGCGCTGCGAGTACTCACGTAGTCCAAGCACAAATCGCCGATCACCAACCCCGGGTGGTCCAAGCAGGGGTGATGTCTTCCTGACGCTCATCTCATCGGTTGGCCCTCCCCCCTGTAAAAAATCATGCATGCAGACGAGACACGAGAGAGTGAACCCCTCTTCAGTCGCCTCACACCGACAGAAATGCCTCTGGAGGAGGACCAAACCGGGCCGGCCTCGAGTCCTCCAGATCCACATGTGGCATGTGGAGCGACGGTGATGTGTCGCGATGAAGTGCATGCGACTGACATGCATGCGCAGGCAGGAGTAGTAGAACTGAGACTTGTTTTTTGGCAGGTCGTACGTAGAACTGAATCGATTAGCCGTCGTCTAGACGTCGCCAGATCCACGCCGTACACGTACATTACAAGCCCCGCGACATATTATTACGGGGGGGTCGGGGAAGAAGCTACATTGACACCCTGGCTCGCCGCTCGCCTCGCCACATGGCTGAATCCTGAATGAATGAAGCCGCCAGAGATCACGCAGCGGTAAAAAGCAGCACGCAGATCCAAACCAGCGGCATCTCACCGTCACCGGCAAAGGACGAACGTGACCGTACGAAGTATGAACGGTGCGCTCGCCGGAGTCCAGAGTTGGCTGTACTTGCCGCCACTTGGGCGCCGGCGGCGTGGCTAGTAGTGCCCGGTGAGCTGCAAACGGACGACGATCCTGGTTGTCCCTGCTCTCCGCCCCACTATCCTCTCCCCCTCTCCGCCGGCATTTGCCGGACCGGTGAATCGCCCTCGCCTGTCCCCCCACCACGCTGGTGCCAGCCATGGCTACACTTCCCACACTACTGTGGTACGACCCATTTGTGCCCAGCTGGTTCACTCCGTCTGCCACTGCAGGACTGCACTAGACCAGAACACAGCTTGTTCCGAGCCGTGACAATCCCGTAATTTGTTTCCACCGAGCTGCATCACCTACCCCGACCTACGCCGGCGGGCCGTCCGTCGCTATGATGAGCCGCTCTAGACGGGTCGACCGGTCGATCGCGGCCGGCCTCACCTAAAAGGCGTCCTCGCTTTACCTGCAACGAACGCACACCCCGCGCCCATGCCCATGTATCCCTGTCCTCGCCGCCTACTCCTGAGTTGTAAAAACTGTACCCCTACCGCCAATAAGTAACCGGAGCTCAACACACGGAAAAGCTCCTCTTTTTGCCCATCATTTCCCCTTTTTGATTGGCTATTATCTGGAGATAGTTAATCGGCTGCCTGCCCATGCATGCATCAATGGATCCCGTCCACGGCGGTTTACGTGCGTGCGTGCTGCGAGCCAACGGCACCAGACCGGGCTCGCTGGATCACTGCGGCGCCCGTGCAAGTGCATGCACTGCTCCATCTTCAAGCGCGACGGGAAGCCACAACCCTGACCAAAAGATCATTCATGTGTTGCTTTGCTTGCCGCTTGGCCATGGCAGCTACGAAATTCACATGAGGCCGCAGAAGGCCGCCGGTGTCATGAGACGGGCAGCCGCCGCGCGTATGGCTGGACTCGACTGACCGGTGAATGAAAAATAACCACGTCGGCCCATTGAAAATGCATCGCTGCCAGCTACGCTCTGCGGCAGGTAAACACGCTCCAAACTACAAGTCCCACGTGTACGTGTACGTGTACGTGTGACACCACAAGATTAACCGTATCTTGTTGCTGCTGACAGCAGTACACGGCACTTTCTCAAAAAAGGCCAAGGAGAGCGGGGCAGAAGAAGCGAACATAGAGCCGTTGAGACGAGCAATTAATCCGCACTAACCACACGCCATCAACGCCCCATCCATAAAACCCACTAACCACACGACGGGCCCAGCGCTCAGGCACCAACGGTCGCCGAGGGCGGGACCCATGCACCCGGCCACAGTCGACCGTCGACACCCCGCCGGCGCCAGCACACCAGCCACTCCCGGCCACAGCCAATCCTGGCAAGCCACGTAACCCCACGGACCGGTTTCACCGCGTCGTGCGTCACCGCCGTCCCCGCATACCCGCCACCTCCCACCCAGCCCGCGGGCCCCGCCTTTTCCCCCGCCATAAATCCCACTCCCCGCCCTTTCCCTCGCTCCCCACACACTCTCCACCACCTCGCCCCCCCGGCCGTGACGAACTCTGCCTCGTCGCCGCCGCCGCACGCAGCAGAGCATGGCTCCCCCCGGCGGCCGCCTCCTCGCCGCGGCATTGTGCCTGCTCCTCCTCGCCGCCGCAGGTAACCACCGTGCCGACCATGAAAGCTCTACTTGGTCGACAATGCTGGTGTGATTTGCTTTGCTTACTGACGGTGAATGCATGTGTTTGGTTGCAGACGCGGGCACCGTGGGCGTGAACTGGGGGCGGGTGGCGAACGACCTGCCCAGCCCGGCGGCGGTGGTGCAGCTGCTCAAGCAGCACGGCATCGCGCAGGTCAAGCTCTACGACACGGAGCCCGCCGTGCTGCGCGCGCTCGCCGGCAGCGGCATCAAGGTGGTCGTCGCGCTGCCCAACGAGCAGCTCGCGGCCGCCGCCAGGCGCCCCTCGTACGCGCTCGCCTGGGTGCGCCGCAACGTCGCCGCCTACTACCCGGCCACGCAGATCCAGGGCATCGCCGTCGGCAACGAGGTGTTCGCCACGGCCGCCAACGTCACGGCGCAGCTCGTACCGGCCATGATCAACGTGCACGCGGCCTTGGCCAGGCTCAACATGGACAAGGCCGTCAAGGTGTCGTCCCCCGTCGCGCTCTCCGCGCTCGCCAACTCGTACCCGCCCTCCGCCGGCGTGTTCAAGGAAGAGCTCGCGCAGTCGGTGATGAAGCCCATGCTCGACTTCCTGGCGCGGACCGGCTCCGACCTCATGGTCAACTGCTACCCGTTCTTCGCCTACGCGGACAATGCCGGCGTCATCTCGCTCGACTACGCGCTCTTCCGCCCCAACGCCGGCGAGCTCGACTCCGGGAGCGGCCTCAAGTACTACAGCCTCCTGGACGCGCAGCTGGACGCCGTGTTCGCGGCCGTGGGCAGGCTGGGCAGCTACAACGGCGTGCACGTGGTGGTGTCGGAGACGGGGTGGCCGTCCAAGGGCGACGCCAAGGAGGTCGGCGCCGGCGCGGCCAACGCCGCGGCGTACAACGGGAACCTGGTCCGGCGCGTGCTGTCCAGGAACGCCGGCACCCCGCGCCGCCCCGACGCGGACGTGGACGTGTACCTCTTCGCGCTCTTCAACGAGAACCAGAAGCCCGGGCCGACCTCGGAGCGGAACTACGGCGTGTTCTACCCGAACCAGCAGAAGGTGTACGACGTGGAGTTCGTCCTCGGCGCCGGCGGCGGCTCCGTGGGCGGCGCCGGCGGCCTTGGGTGGCAGGACAACGGCGGCGGCAATGCGCCTCCCGTGAGCGGGGCGGGAGGGGGGGTGGTGAGGGCGGCGGCGACGCCGGGGTCGGCGTGGTGCGTGGCGAACGCGATGGCGGGCGAGGCGCGGCTGCAGGCGGCGCTGGACTACGCGTGCGGGCCGGGCGACGCGGACTGCAAGGGCATCCAGCCCGGCGCGGCGTGCTTCGAGCCCAACACCATGGTCGCCCACGCGTCCTACGCCTTCAACGACTACTACCAGCGCAAGGGCCGCTCCATCGGCACCTGCGACTTCGCCGGCGCCGCCTACGTCGTCAACCAAGCACCAAGTGAGTCCCCGTTCCCGCTTAATTTGCTCGTTTCTTGCCTGCAAAATCACTCGTAGGAGTACCGCTCGTGCAAATGTACCACGTCCATTACTTGCATTGCGAAGCAAAATGTACTCCCTTAATTTCAAAATATAGTGCGCCCACGCTTTCCAAGGTCTAATTTTAACCATAAATTTAACCAACAAGACCAACAGTGGCGGGAGAAAAAAAATATATAATTGAAAACTTTTTTTGAATACGAATTCACTAATATAATTTTTGCTTCTGCCACAATCGGTCTTTTAAATTTAAGGTTAAAGTTGAAGCACGGGATAGAGGAAGCACTACATTAGGCTAGTCATAGTGGGAGTAACTTAGCTGATAACATAGCATATTTCGAGAAAATTCTGCTTATGTGGCAAATAATTAATGAGAGATAGTAATATAAGGCTGGTCACAATGGGGAGGAACTTAGGAGTAACATCACACACTCCAATACAACTTTGCTTATGTGGCACATATTTAATGAAGAGAGAGGTGCTTGTGGTAACTAGCTAAGTTACCGGAACATCACACACTCCAAAAACAATGAGTCTATAACCTAATAATACATTGTTGCATGACACTACATAGATGTTCCTACCCACTATGAAGATAGTAACATAGTCTAGGAAATTGTGTATGTTACTAGCTTATGTTCTTGCCCATTGTGACCAGCCTAATATGTTACTGTAACATAACGCTTTTCAAGACAAGATGAGTCTATGAGCTAATAAATGAAGCCATCTATAATACTACTAGTATGTTATTTTGCATTATGAAAATAGTAACTTAAACTAATGTCATATGCATGACAGTAGTCTAAGTTACTTCCCACTATGACCAGCCTTATGGAATGGAGGAAGTAGATGCTAGTTGCTAGGTACCGTGAGTACCCCTAACCCGGGCAAAATGTAGGTCCTAGGTACTCCTAATCGGAGCAAAATGCTGGTGCTAGCAGCTGCTAGTGCTAATGCAGAGAATGGGTTATCACAAAAAAGTTAACAATTTATACTTTCTTTAGGGAAAATGTTTAGTAACAATTTTCTAGCAATAATTTGGTAGGAAAATCGGTGACAGTTTGTGTGGGAGCCACGGTACCTAAAGCGAGAAACATCCCCGTACCATAGGCGGCAATTTACAGAGAGATGGGGGGTAGGCAGGCACGGCTCAAATCATATCAAGCGAAAGTTGCTTTGCGTCCTTTTGTTTTGGCCCACACATGCACGCAGCCTTAATCACGACAAGGGAAGCTGCAGCTGTGCCTTCACGCTGCTGTGATTTGCGACCCAAATCTGCACATCATTCAAGCCCGCATTGGATTCGAGCTGCCGTTGGTCCGTCCGGCTGCCGTGCAGTTGCCAGTCAGGGTCTCAGAGTTTACGACCGTGGCGAGACGGCTGTCGGTCAGGTCCTGCCAGCCCAGGCATGGTGGCTCGCGGCTCGACGTGATACGACGCGTCCTGTGCTCTTTACTCCCGCCGTTGGAATGCGTGCCATGTCTGGACGGCCGGACGTCGGCATGCGGCGCACCACGACGAGTATGGCCGCCGCTTCCGGCTCCGGCTGCTCTGCTTCGTGTACCCCGCGCGCGCATTGTTTACTCCTCCTCGGTCCCGGTACAAGAATTTGGTCTCCATGTTCACATCGGACATCGGAGGAGGCACTAGCATTTCTATACTCCATTGTTTTTGAGCTGTGGATCTTCTTACTTATACTTGGTCTGAGATGTTTATTCCAATGTTTTTGCAGAGATGGGCAAGTGCGAGCTCCCCTCCACGGTCTGAGACAAGGCAACAGTGGCCAAAGGGAGAGGAGGTGGAAATATCTATGCACCGAAGGTCGGCCAAAGCGCAGGGAAAGAGGGGAGGAATGCTGGACATCTCTGCCCCTTTTCTTTGGTCTTTGCCCGCTGCAGGCGTACGTAGAACATTGGTGGTAGTGCTGTAGCCGGCCGGCTGTGCGCCTTTCTGCAGCCTTGGTTCATGGGGGATATCTTTGTTTAACCGCTAGTAGTCTCTGTAACTATGCTTTTACTGTAAGCTTGGATTACTTACTAGTAATATAGATTAATTCTAAGTATAATACTAGTAGCCTTTTGTGTCCCACTTGTCGTGTGCTGTCGCGGCTCTCGCGTGCTTGATCATTGCCTCGGAAGTCTGTCTACCGGAAATGCTGCTTGGCTTGGAAGCCAGTTTGGTTAGCAATCGAGCGTCAACTCATGATGGTGGCAGGCACGGCAGCTGCTCCCCACGATCAATGTCCGGAGTGCTGCTTGTTGCGTTTTGGTGGCCTGGTTAGGATTGTTTTTTTTTTTTTTTGCCAAACATGAAAAGAGCGAAATCTGGTGCCGAGGTTGCTAGGATAGGATATGTATCCCAAATCCTATGAATAGGAATAAGAAATGAGATGTCATTTGGTTGACACCAAAGAAATTTTTTCATTGAGTCTAGGCTTATTTTTATTTTTTTATGAAATGTGAAGGATAGGAACCAATCCTATGTAGGAATATGAATCTATTCATATGAACCAAAGGGCTCTAAAGGAAAAAATCCTATAAAAATTCTATACTTTAGAATTCCTATGAAATTCCTCCAAACCAAAGAAGGCCTAAAATTGCCCAGCCACACGCAGGAATTCCCTCCCAGGTTGCTTTAAAAAGGATGCAGGCCACAAATGCAACATTGCTTGGACAAATGCTTCTGGATCTGCATCATGGAAGAAAACTCGAGTCTTGGGCTAGAGCGAAAGCGCCTGCTACACTTTGTTTAATCATAATCACCAGTGCCTGATCTGATCTTTGGTGCGCTCGGCAAGCGAGCACTGCTTGAGTAAGTTTCTCGTCACGATCTGTGGGTTGGTTCGTTCTCCATCACGGCACACGTTCTGTACTGTGCAACCACGGGTAGCGCTCCACCCCCCGTGGCACGTGGGGTGGTGGTGGTGGGCTGGTGGGCGTCGTCGTGGGTGGGTGGTCACCTCCGGGCTGGCTCCGGCTGAGCTCCGCCGGAGCCCGGCCGCCTCCTCCGCGTGCGCGCGCATGTGAGGGGAGCAAGCTGCCAACCGGGGTTCGACGGAGGGCTGGGCCTGGACCACTGCCGGAGCGTGGAAAAGAAGACGAAATATCGCCGGTGGCTTCTCGCCGATCGAGGTGATCTTTGCGCGGTGAAAATCCGTGCCCGGTTTTGGCTGCACAGGCGCAGCTACGTGCATACACTTTTTTTTAGGATCGTATACAGCTCCCTTTTTCCAGGACGCGTCCCTTTCTTTTCCGGTTCGAGGCCTCCTTCGTTTATTGAGAGGAATTTCATAGGAATTCTAGAGGATAGAATTCTTATAGAATTTTTTCCTTTAGAGCTCTTTGGTTCATAGAAATTGATTCCTATTCTTACATAGGATTGGTTCCTATCCTCCACATTTCATAGGAAAATAAAAAAGAGTTTAGACTCAATGGAAAAATTCCTTTGGTATCAACCAAATGACATCTTGTTTCCTATTCCTACTCATAGGATTTGAGATACATGTCATCTCATTTCCTATAAGATTCCTATTCCTATGATAATTCTATCCTATGAACCAAAAGAGGCCTCAAACTTAGACTCGAGGAGGCGAGGTCCGTCCCTATGCACGTCCCTATGCTTGTTTTTCTGCCTGTGCATGCGCTAGGGCTATACGTCGCCCCTGTCGAGTCGTAATACAAATCGACCGTGCACGCGACTAGTGGGCCGGCTCACTACCCTGTTTGTTCGCTGCGCGCTGAAAGGTTCGCCATGCTTCGTTTTTCTTTGTTTTTTCCTGCTTTCTTTTTGTTTTTTCACCCTTTTCCTTCGGGTTTTCTTTCCCCCTTCTTCTTTTTTACTTTGGTTCCTTGTGGGTTTCCCTTTTTATTTCTCTCTTTGTTATACTTTCGTTTTCTTTCCTTTTTGTTTCTTTGTCGTTCTTATCTATTTTTAACACATGTCAACTTTTTCTTGGTACACAATTTATATTTTTAGAGCACATGTGACGCATTTTTCTGATACATGAGGGACACTTTTCAAACGCATGATGTACATTTTTAATACATGTTCGAAGACTTTTTGAATACACGATAATGTTTTCAAAATACACGTTGCGCAACAATTTATTTTCTTAAACAAACGCCAGCATTTTCTTACATTGTACAACCATTTTTGGAAATTTCATGGACATTTTTTGGAAACACATGATTATTTCCTTAAAACGAAATGTACAATTTTTTGTTGAAAACCAGTTGTTTTAAACTTGCCTGAGAATTTCTACAATGCATATAAGATTTTAGAAAATGTCACATTTTAAAAAAAAATGCAGAAATATTTTCATAAAATGTCACGCACAGTTTTTCAATGGTAAGAAACAATGTTTACATTATCCAAACGTTTCTTACGTTGTATTCACATTGTCAAGAAATTTGGCATAAATATTTTTTTGAAACGCGGGAATATTTTTCATTGTGATGAACATATTTTCCAAAAGTTATCAGCATTTTTTCAAAACTGTGCTAACAATTTTTTTACAGTATTTAAACATTTCTTTCATAAGTTATCAACATTCAATTAAAACTTTGCTAACATGTTTGTTATACTAGCCAGAGAGTCTGAGCGTTGCAACGAGAAGAAACAATAAGATACGCCCCTAACCAATAATCATGACTCAACACCCCAATAGATCCATGTCCTTTATTCAAACATTTTTTATACATTTTTTGCACTATTTATACATTTCTTTCATAAGTTATCGACATTCAACTAAAACTATGCTAACATTTTTGTTATACTAGCCAAAGAGTCTATACGTTGCAACGAGAAGAAACAATAAGACATGCCCCTAACCAATAATCATGACACAAAGACCCCAATAGATCCATGTCCTTTATTTGAACATGGCATCCCCATCTATGCTGCCTCTCTCTCTCTCTCTCTCCATAAGATGAACATCAAATTTCTTTTTTTGATGCGATGTTTTGCCGAGGCATGTATCTGTGGTTATTAGTGGTTTATTTTGTCTTCAATCCGATTTTGATGAAGTGTTCATTTGCAACACAGATTGGCCTCGGTACGGAAAAAAGACGGATTGTGCGCTATTGATTAAAATTATACCATAAATAGAATTTTAAAATGTTAAATAGGTAAAATAACATCTTATTCAGATTGTATACATCGCTATTGATTAAAATTACACCATAAATAGAATTTAAAAAATATTAAATAGGTAAAATAACATCATATTCACATTGTACATATTTCTAAGCAAATTTTCATATATAAAATTTAAAATTTGATTTCCGGTTTAAAAGATATGATTGAACATTTGTTGCTTATAGTTGAACATCGGATTAATTAATAGAAACGGTAGGGTTTTTTCTAAAAAGTGTGAAAATGATTTGTTTATTTATTTAAGTTCGGACTACGGGTTTATTTCATGAAAACGGAAGGGGGTTTCTGAAAGAATACAAAAAACGGTTCATTTTTGTCACTTAAGTACGGACTGCGAGTTGATTTCAAAAAAGCACTTTCAGCTTTATTATTAGATAGAGATATCATGTTAACATTTTGTCAAATTCATGGTTTTAAATTTCTTAAGTATATTTAAGTATTTGAAATATATATATTGAAAATGTAACAAAAGAAGAAAGAAACAATGTCACCAGCATGGCAAGCAATGTCTTGCTGGGCAGGACCGCCACCGAAGCCTTGTACTCCCTCCGTTCCCAAATATTTGTCTTTCTAGACATTTTAAATGGTTACAACATACGAATGTATGTAGACATATTTTAGAGTGTGAATTCACTCATTTTGCTTCGTATATAAAGACAAATATTTAGGAATGGAGGGAGTAGAAGGCAGATGTGCGCCTTTGCACGAAGCGGCATGGGCGCGCCCGTGTCTTGCTTGGAGCGAGACCTATGGTATCTTCACCTGAGGGAGTGCCCGTCTGGAACCGCTTACCATGCGCCTATGTCTATATCTTTTTTTTTTTGCTTAATTTATTATTTTTGTGTATACATTTACACACACACACACACACACACATTATGGAAAATGTATTCTCATGCATACGAAAAATGTAAAAAAGGAAATAATGTATATGAAAAAGGTTGATCAAGTATACGAAAAATGTATAAAAAATATATAATGTGTATGAAAAAATTTGATAATATATCTTTTTAATCAAGCATTTAAAAACATGGTAATAATTTTTTTGTATATTTGAAATGTGTATAAAAAATGTTCCTGGGGTATACCAAAACGTAGAACATGTATTAAAATATTGAAAATAAAATAATAAAATAAAAAATGACAATCGTGTATCAAAGAAATTTTAACCATTTTTTAAAAGTAACCATGTATTAAAAATGCTCCTGATAGGTATCGAATATGTACAATGTGTATAAACAAAGTAGTCCTCACAAAGATATATGAAAAAATGTTAATTGCCAATTTAAAAATTATTGAATGTTTTAAAAAAAGTTCTTATACAATAGAAAAATGTAGAACAACTCTTAATTTTTTTAACACCAAAACATTATTTTCTAAAATGTCGATTGCATATAAAAATGTTAATTGTGGATTTCATAAATGATAACATTTATTAAAAATGTTCATGGTATACACCAAAATTTTATACTGTGTAAGAATGACATAGTCATCAAACATAATTTTTTAAATAATTAATCATGTATTTGAAAAAAATCAACATGTATCAAAAATGTTCTTGATGTGTGTTAAAGAAAAAAAAATAGAAAAATAGAAAAGTGGTAAAAATCAAAGAAACGGAAGGAAGAATAACAGGGACACCTCAGAAACGAAGGCAAACGAGAAAACCCGGGAAAAAACCCCCATGAAAATACATGAGTGCAGGCGACCGATCGATCTTGAGCGAGCGAAGGCGAAGAAAAAATGGGCCGACCCAATACCTACGCGAGAGAGCAA